CCGCAAACAAACAAGTGCTGGCCGCTTTGTGAGCGCTTGCGTCGCTTGCTTGTGCAGCTGAATGTGCATCTGAAGTTGACCCACACAGTTCACTCATCATCATACGGCACCCTATACTGGCGTCCTCTGTGTCGATGCCACGACTCCCATGCTTTTCTAAGTCATAACCTGATGATGATCACATTCTGCCGTGGGAGGCCCTCCTGGCCCACAGGGTCCTACTGGACCCCAGGGTTACACTGGCCCTCCTGGGCCACAGGGACCGAAGCTGGTCTCGCAATTCAAAGCCTTGTGCCTAGCGAGGAGATTAATGTTTCTGGGGTTTATCCCCAATCTAACCTCAACGTAACCCCAATATACTATAGCAGTTGCTGACACAGTCTTGCGGAAGCTTATTGTAGGCCTTCATCGAGGCTTTTGGGGTGAGGCATTGATAGGAGCACTCCGAGACGACATTTTGGAGATTGGAATACAAACAGCATCTTGTTTTTCTTGGCCAAAAATCTCAGATCAGCAGAACCCAGAGACCGATGATCTTCATAATTTGAGAGTTGTCAAGTTCATGATCTTGCGTCCTCGTTCTAAAGTTGGTATTTAGGATATCATGGACCAGGACAGGGTTCTGGACAGCGGTGTTCAGTCCTTGTCCCCGCAACTTGAAATCAGACGGCAGGGTTTTTTCCAGCCAGGAACTTGCAACATCATTCAAATCGTTCATGTTTTAGGGAACTATCCTGGATCCGAGTATGGGTTCAAAAAAGGGAACATGACTGGTGAGCAAAGTGTTTTGTGCACGCCGGAATGAATTCTAAGGCAAGGTACACTCAGTGCACTATCTTCATTGCAGCTCGTGGGGCGCTCCTGTATCCGAATCCGGGTCACGATTCCACGACCTGTTTGCATTCCCACCCCTGTATCCGTCATATGCCTGGAGTCCATCCTGAGCTCATACAACATACGCATGCGCAACATATAGATTTTGCTACGTCGTGCACTTTTCGTCAAATGCTCTTAACACAGAATTCAAGAAACCGTGCAACAAAGGGGGCCGGGTAGGGTACCTATGCCATACATGCTTGGGGTTAGAAGGGTTCCCGTATAGCTGCCCCCACTCAGTAACCATTGAATAGTATTTAAATATACCTATATATTACAAAGCCCCAAATATGCCCACTACTGTAGGCTTGTAATGGGTTGGGGGCAGGACCCAACCCATGCGACCCAAGGAAAGGACCACCTGGCTCAGTCCATCCGGGACCTCCGGGTCCCGCAGGGGATCCGGGACCCCATGGCCCGCAGGTCCGGGTTGGAATCTGTTGGGGTTTATAAGGTTTAGGAGTTAACAGTTTAGGGTTTAGGGGTTGGAGGTTTATAGGGTTTAGGGTTTAGGGGTTACAGTTTCTGGGTTGATTTTTTCCTGGGCTAGGGTTCGTAGAGCTGCCCCAGGATCGCATAGGGATTATACAAAGGACATTCAAGGGTCCAAGTCTCTTGTTGCTTTGGAGGCAGGCATTCACCAGGACCGCAGTCTTGTGAGCACACGTAACGGTACCCCGTTTCAATAGATGCCGAAATCTGGAGCGGGGCTTCAAAGTTTGGGGTTGCAGAGGGCGTGATGATGGCATCGCTAGATTATTCTTGCTCCACTTTGCCTCGGCCGGGAATGCCACACACCATTCATTAGAGTGGCAGCCCTCAGGCATCAAAAGCTAGCCACTATGAGGCCAACTACGTGGAACGTTTCTAGCACACAAAAAACCACAAACGGGGTGCTTCTGCATGCACACTCTGAACGGGGTAGATTTGTACAAAGCAATCCCGCACTTGAGACGCCTATGCATTACCTTTGCCTTGCCAGGGTGAGAGGGGCCCGAAAGGGCCTCCTGGCCCCAGAGGGCCGGCAGGCGCTTTGGGATAATTGTGGCCTGTTGTTTGCAACGTCCGTGCAATAGCTTGTTTCCCGTAGAGAGCTATGACGCTGTCTTGTCCATAGCAGAACTGGACACATGGACTGTTCGACACTTGATTTGTTTCTTGACATGTGGTGCTCCTGATGCGCCTAACCGAATATCTACAGTAGCCAGGACAGGGCAGTTGAAAGAGTTTGTCCATGGCTGGTCAGATCCATCGATTTTTTTTGTCACAGACATTCGGGATTTTAATGAAAGCAGACTATCAAGACCGTCCCACATTTTAAGGCGTAGCATAAAACAGTAGGAGGCTTTCTTGCCCTGACGAACCCTTGGGTGCAGGTCCTGCTTACGACGGCTGCTTTTCTGCAGGTGTTGCTAAAGGACGGGTGGAGCAAGTTACAAGCACCATCTGCTCTCCTAGTGATTAGCTGGGTTTTGAGGATGATAAGATCAGTCTAGTACTTATAGTGTTTCTGGTGCAGCAAGTGCGCCCCGTGGTGGCAGCTTCGAGGCTTTACTTTGGCTCCCTTTTCTGGCATCCGCGGTCTGATATGAAAACCTTGGATATTAGCCCCTTAAGAATTGTTGCTGTTTCAGGGTAGCTGCTTTCCGTCTTCTGCTACATTACAACCTGTTCTCGTGTGAAGCAGCCTGCTGCTGAGGCGAAAAGAAGGGTGACGAGATGATTGACATGGCCAAGGATCTCCTGCGAAAGGCTCCACGGCATTTCGTTTAGCCATATGGGGTTTGGCAGTCTTTGGGGAGCATGTGCAGGCTACAAGAAAAGCCAGAGCTGTGGTCACTATTATTGTTTCCTGCAATTGGTTTGGCCATTCCTACGCGTGTTGTTAGCTGTTTGGAAAATAGTACTATAGTGCCACCGGTAGTGGTGGTGATGGTGGCGGTGGTGGCGGCGGTGGCGGTGGCGCCAGCTACCGGAACAGCCCTAAAAGCATCTACAACTCGGCAGCAAAGGTTGACACTCTGAACCAGCAGTCCGACGAAGCTGCGGCGATGCTGGTTGAAGAGATGAAGGATGGTTGCCTTAGCGTGACATTCTGCTGAGGTTCCATGTCCCTTTGTGAGACAGATCAAGGATGGTTAACTTTTGCTTAAAGGCAATAGTTAGGTCTTTAAGCAGCAAGTTCGTAAGAAAGCTTGTGCAACTCCCGCTGAAGAACTGACCTGGTGGTCCTCTCGAGTCCATGTGACCGTATGGCACGGTGTGTTGAGTATGTATTCCGCTGTTAGTGGGTTACTGCAATTAAGGCACCATCCCCTGCCGTATTCGATGTCCAGTTGACAGGGGGGATGGTTGCCTTTCATTCCTGTAAAGCATCTATCCTTGCTAGCAGGTCCGACCCTTGTGCCTTGTTAAGAGGTTTGTGTGGCGCCTGCTTAGGTCGACATCTAGGGTCCTAGCTACCCTCCTCCACCAACCCAAACATCCTGCGCTCCGACCCCTGCCCCTTTCCGTCTGCATGCTTTGCACCATGGCTGCTGCGCCGAAATCCCAAACCCTTGCCCTGAGCATTGCCCAAGCATGTTACCGAGCGCCCCACCAAGTACACAGCTAAGCTGGTGCCCCAAGACCATCCGCACATCCTGAAGCTTTCTGAAGCTACCTGGCACAGGAGCTTGAGCGGCAGCTAGGTCTCGAAGAGAAGGCCAGGCAGTTCTTAGGCGGCTGTCGGAAGTGTCAACTAGAAGCTCGGAGATGATTCCTTTAGAGGTCTTTTTTAGGGAGCAGGGCTTGCCCAAAAACCGTCTTGGGCTCCTTTGTCAAGTTGTGGTAAGCATGTGATCAGGGCTGTTACTATTACCCTGGAAGCAGGCTCAAGCGCCAAGATCCCAGGAACACAGGCCAGAACTTTGAATCTTCACTCTTTGCCTATCACGCAAACACCTGCTAGGAGACCTATGTTTGTTAGCTCCTCCCTGGCTGACACCTGCAGGCTCCGCAGGTCAGGTCCATGGAACTCTAAAAATCGCGAGGGGGAAAAGCCAGTATTCTTGAGGTACCTGCTTGAGCTTTGGAGTGATCATATCACCCCAAGCAGCCCAAGCACCACGGCAGCTGCTGCTGTTGCTTCTCTGCCACCTCCTGCCAGTACTTCTGCCAGGCTAGCTTTCCCTTCCAGGTCCGATAATGCTATTGTTATAGCCGCTGCTGCTTTTGCAGCAGCTGCCCCCGGCTCCACTCTTCTTCTGTTTCTGCCGCGCCGATGGCAATCACCATTTCTCGAGCTGCTTCTACCATCCCATGGCTGCACCTTCGAGCTTTCTGCCAGCTGCCAGGAAAACTTCATCACGGAAGATGAGCTGCGACAGCCCCTACCCTTTAAGTAGTCTTAAGGTGTGGCATTGGGGGGAGGTCATTCTGGTTAACATGATAGGTCAGGATCTCCAGCAGCGGTGTCTTTCAAGTTTCCTTCTCCAGTAGACTCCCCGCATGTATGCAGCTTGTTTCTTGGGGCTCCCAAACTTTTCAGAATCATCCTGGGCAACTACCCAAAGAGAGGCAGTTGCAAGACCCCCCAGCATTCAAGGATTGGTGAGCTTGCATCCGACATGACGAAGCAGCTCAATTCCTATGCAGGCAGCAAACTCGGTAGGGAGACTGCAACGCAGGGCTAGGGATAAGGGCTATAGGGTTTGGGCTTTGGAGGTGGAGTCTGACTCAACGGAGTAGGAATTAGGCAAGTTCAGGTTTCTGCTTAATATATAGTCCCCCTTAAGTAGATAGAATATGGGGAATATGGGGGTCTTATTATATTATACCCAAAACCATATTCTATCTACTGAAGGGGGACTATACTGTGAAAGGCACAGCACAACCGAGGGATGTGCTGCATCACCTTCTGTAGCCTTGACAGTCGCATCTGTGCCAGAAGCCAATCTCTTTCCCTTCGCGCGCTGCGCTCCCTCAAGCCGAGAAGGGAGTGAGGGAACAAAAAGTTGACGTAGCTGATCACATGCGCTATAATTAAGCTCCTTAAAAGGGGGATATATATAGGGATGATACTACGGGGGAGTATTATAGGGAGCTTCCGGAAACAACCCCCTTGGAACCGTCTGGGATGCGGCAGGAATCCTCCTATGAGCCTCCCATGTTCAAATATGATGTCTGACTATCCTTTGGGCTCCCTTTTTGTTAATCCTTCGTCTGCCCAAGGCTACTCCGAAACGTAGACATGGTAGTTGTGTGTCCAGTGGGGTAATAACAGTTCTGGGTACGCCTTGGCCTCCAAACCTGCATGTGACTACTCATGAACCCTTCACACCCTTCCCCACTCCGAAAACGCCCCACAAGAATATGTTGCGATATTACGCGCAGCCACTGATGCTCTACAACTCCTAAACTAAACCCGTCACCCTAAACCCCAAACCCTAAGCCCTAAACCCCATAACGAGCATTCAGTGCTTTGTAGAACTGACTTGAGGGATTGCTGGGCCCTACCCAGACCCCTGGGAGGATTTAGAAATTAAATCCCCTATATAGACCCATTATAACCCCTATATAATCCGTATATAAATTCCCATATGGTTCTAGGGGGTCTAATTTTTAGATCCTTTTGGGGGTCTGGGTAGTGAGTCCTCTGCAGGCCACCTGGAACATGCAAGGCATGGCTTGGCCATGAAGGCACATAGCCAGCAGGCCCGGTTTAGGCTGTGGGGTTCTGGGTTTTGGGGTTCTGGGTTTTGGGGTTTAGGGTTTGGGGTTCAGGGTTTGGGGATTGGGGTTCTGGGTTTTGGGGGTTTAGGGTTTGGGGTTTAGGGTTCAGGGTTTGGGGATTGGGGTTCGGGAATCCAAGGTCCTAATCTCCCTAGTGGGAGCTCCTACCTCTTTCCTGGCATTCCAACCATGGGCCCATAATTAAGTTTCGTAGGATCTTATGGGATATAGGCCCATACTTTGCCATACTTTGCATCTTAGAAGGAAGGGATACCGGGGTGGGAAGTCTGGGCTCCTGTGAGTAGAGGTTGAGGGTTCAGGGTTTAGGGCACGAGTGCGAGTTGTGGAGGCTGCAGGCTGGAGGCACGTCAGAGAGTCCTCCTTCAAACAGGGTTTAGGGCACTTAGGAGGTTCTGAAAATTCTGGGCAGTTTTGTGGCTTCGTGGCCACAATTTAGCGCAGATCCGATTCGCATGTGTGTGCATGTGTCTGCCCTTACACAGTGTAACCCGCAATTTCTCTTTGGGAGCTTTTGCAGAGTACCATATCGGCCATATCGCCCTCTAAAAATACGGGTCGGCCATCTTGTTATCCATCCTGGATTACGAGTGGTCTTCTCCAATTGGAGTCATGTTAGTCATTTCCTCATTACATATTGTGCCTCGCATACACCCTGAAGCCCTTTTCTTATTCTTACATTGGCCCTTACACGACACTGCCAGATTCCTGGCCTCAGCGCTGATACAGCACAGAAATTTCGCTACGTTGAGAGTTGAGCGCATTGTAAGGAAACAATATTATAGGTTTTTATAGATAGCATGAGTGATGTCATGGGGTGTTGCTTTGACGGGGCTGCGGAGCGTTGACTGGGACTTACATCTGCGGTAGGGCGCCTGTTTACGACATTCTAAGGAAAATATCTCTACTTTGGCAATAAACCATAATAAACCCCTGGTGAGTTGGATTCTGTGCAGCGGGGTGACAAGCTATGTGGCGTTCGCGGTTCAGATAGGAAATTGCATGTAAATTCGGCATCCAGTCCCTGATTCTCTATCAAGTACTGGGAGGCCACAGCTCCCATGCGGAATGACCTTAAAAGCTAAAGGTCCCGCTTTTCCACCCGAAAGCATTCGGTTTGTCATTGCCATTGGGAAGGCGGCCATGCAGGAGCTGGAGCAAACGCGGGTGCGACAAGAGGCATGTATACGCGCGGGTATTATGGGATTATCGATTCGGGATCAGGGCTCCTCCAACAAGGATGAGGGCTTTGAAGTTGGTAGAACGAATAGGCGGATGTATAGCGGGCACCGGCACGGTTTGTTTCTCGGCCAAATGGTCCTGCCTTGTGCTCTCGTCGTCACCGCCCGATTCTCTCAAGCATGAAGGCTTTTGAAGCATGGGGGGCCATGGATGGTGTCCGTTTGCGCAACTGGAAGGATCTCGATGTGGAGTGGCATCGGGAATTGCAGGGGTTCTGGGTCTCTTCCGCGCCGGTTCCTGCAGATTGATACTCGGCCACAGGTGCATTCAGGTAACGTGGCATAACACATCTCCCGTGTCAGCATTTCCTGGATGGAGCCTGGTCATTGTCAGACAAATGATTTGATTGACGGAGTCCCGTCCTTTCCGACTGTCGTACCGAGCCCGAACGCAAACAAGGGATTAGGGTCAATCTCCTCCCTCTCATGGTAAACCTCCCACCTCCCCATCAAAAAATATCCTCAATGTAGTACCATGTATTGTGTTGTAAGGAGAATATCAAGTCTAAGGGGGGTGGGCAGGTTAACGTTGTGGGGAGGGAATTAAAGGTTAGGGTTTGATGGCCACGAAGATGATCCTGAATTTGGGCACCCCATGTTGAGGTACTACTTACTGAACAGGGGAGTTTCAGACACTCCTGTTCCTTCATGTTGTTTTGGTAGATTGGAAAATATGATGTGTGTGGCACCCTGGCTATTACGCGCAGAATTATAATTGGGATCCAAACAAGACTGTTCTCTTGACAGCCTACCATATGCCCATGTCGAAATCTTTTGAGGCGTTGACTGCAAGCCTGGCACCCTGGGGAATTAGGGTTTAGCGGGTTCAGGTTCTTAAGTCAAGACATTGCTATCTAGGTATGTCCATGTCCTTCTGTCTCTGGATCATGTGGCATCATGTAATGCACCTCTCGACTTGCTGATTGCTACCGTAGCGGGGAATGGGGAATGGAGGAATTGACCTATTAACCCCAATAGTGGTGCCTATAGAACCCAAATAATTCCAGCAGCTTGAATTTGCTTCTCCATGTCTTTATTCCCTTGTAACCATAAGCAAGCAGATGGTGGTTGGACGTCTTGATGCCGGCGCTACCACAATCAATTTATTGGGATACACGGCACAAACAACATGATTCGACAAAAAAACATTCTCAACAGTAAGCAATAGCAAGAAAGCAGCAATCTCCGTAGTTGCAACTGGGCTGAAGGGCAGCGGCCGGAGTCAAGGGCAGGAAAGCAACATAATTTTGAAAATTTTTCAATGTGTGGAGATATCCTGACCAGGCCTTTATGCTTCACAACATGGGGCAAGGCTTCGACCCAACACCGCCGCTCGACTAAATCTGTGGAGCATGAGCAGGGCGGACATGCTGTGCAAGGAGGTGCAGCAGTCTGCGAAAGCTTGCGACCCCAGGGCCAAAGCAGAACTGAAGGAAGGTGTCAGGCCCACGCATCTGAATAGCGCACACCGCTTCGCTGCCCAATGGTTCCTACATTAGATTTGGGGGCCTGAATATGTATCTAGGTGCTTGTGCCCTTGAAAGCTTGGAGGGACGGAGAGGCTTCACGATGCTCAGGGGTGGCTTTGGGCCGGCATCGGAGCTACAACCCAGCTCGGTTTGGACTTTTTCCATGTATCTATTGTAGATGGGTCTGAATATGCTGCATCTTCATGTATGTAGAGGGCCCCGAACAATCATCCTCTTCCCATCCCTGTGTAACAATTCTTTTGGTCCGCAATCAAAAACTTTCTTCGGGATCCCTTGGATGCTGCCCACACTCAATAACAGCTTGATAGCAGTTATCATATATGCATTTGTAGCCCTCAATATACTTCCCTGATTGCAAACTGCTATCGGGCGGTTCCCTAAAGCCCATAAACCCCTAACCCTGCAGACCCTATAAACCCCATAAACCTTAAATCCTGTGAACGCCAAACCTCATCAACCATTAAACCTGTAAACCCCATAGAGCCCTACTATCCCTCATAACCCCTATATAGCCTATTATAGTAGTTTCCATGCTCTTTTCCTTGATCCCCATGTAACCCATATACAACCCCCAATATATACACTATATCATTATAGTAGTTTCCATTTTTCCATTATTCCTATAGAACCCCCTATATAACCATAAACCCCTAAACCCTAAACCCTAAACCCTGAACCCTGAACCCTGCGCCAAGGTATATGGCACAGGCACAGGCACAGCAGAATGCATGGGCTCCGGGCGGCAGCATGGGAGGAGGGGCCTGCGCGATTTGATTGGGATAATCGAAAAGAAAGTGGAAATCACGCTAATGGTTTATACAGCGGTTCTAAGGGATGATGGGAAAGAAAATGGAAACTACTATTTAGGGTTAAGGGTTTAGGATTGATTGAGGGATGGTGCTTCAGGTTTCGGGGTTCTAGTTACCCTGTGCTGAATTCAGTTTCAAGTTAAAGGTGTGGTTCATTTCGAGCTTAGGCTTCTTAGGCTAGGAACTCTTGCTTAGTAGCATCAGGGCCCTGTTTGCAAAGCTCGGGATGCTTGAAGAGGGTGGTGGCCTTGGGTCGCAGCATTCATGTGGGTTGTTCCCAAAATTATGGGCCCCTTTTGGGTACCAAAATGGGGCCCCAATTCGGGGAACTGCCCATGTATTCGCATCTATGTCGCAAAGACAACGGCAAGCCATGTCGCTTTTGGCAGCTATGCTCCGAAACTAGGAGCATCGCAGACTCGTACAGAAGAACAAGTTTCCCGTGACATGCTCACATTCCCGTTGACTGCTTTGGACCTGCTACTTCGTATGTTTTCAATACTTCGCTTTGCTGCTCTGAATTGGAAGAGCCGGCATCAAATCACATTCTAAGCCGCTGATCTCTGCTTCCGTTCAATCCTCAGACATCGACGAAGTTCTCTTGCCTTCAAGGAGCAGCATACCACGCACAGAGCCATCGATCAGAGGCCCAGGACAAGGGAGTCCTCAGGGATACGGGCTTCCTTCCCAACTTTACCAATCGTGGTTGGGGTTTAGGAAACTTGGGGCCCAAGGCCGGCTTGTAGGCCTTCAAGATGTTTCTGGGCAACTCCTATGGGGGAGGCGCAGGGTTGCCAAACAAATCCGGTCCCAAATCTAGGAAACATTTGAAACAGCGGTGTTGAGCATGCAACAGTAACTTCTATGAGCCTTACGCCTAACGCATGCAATCAGTTGCTATCTATGCAGTGTGCTCCTTCAGTCAGGGCATATGGGTGCACATTGAGTTGCGCGAAGCACTTTCTAAAGTTTTGCCCCGGTGGCACGCAGGTACCCTCTGTCGTATGTCGATTTTCCAAGCAGGTACACGAGCGAGGGCAGGGTAAGGTAGCCCCTACAATCTCCTCCGACGAGGCACGCAAGAGCGACAAAAGCGGCGAAGGGCGTTGTTCAGTCTCAACACTACAGGTGATGTGCTCTCTGATGGCTTCCTGGCATGCACCAGGGGACAAAGGAGAAAGGAGGTTCTTAAGCAACCTAGTGGCCCGTATGAATCGAAGTTGACGCATACTGCTTTAGAAGGTCACGCTGGGGATGTAGTGACTCTGACGGGGATGTTTCAATGACGAATGTTCAGGTTGCTTTGCTGTAGCGGGGTGGTTCGGGTGCATGTGGCTACGAGAAGGGGCATCAAAGAGCATACGTGGCTCCCACGAACGCCAACACCCCATATGCTTTAGAGGTACGCGCATGTTCCCTGTGAAGAATATCCCAATCCCTGACAATGTCGATCTAGAATCTCGTGTTATAATTATTTCAAGGACTCTGCACCAATGTGCTCTCTGCTGGTTGTTTGGACAGCATTGGTGAACAGTTGCGTGGTGTCGCCCAGTGCTTCTCGAACTTCCTATTTCAGCCAAGTTGGTCCAAGCCCATCGAATTAACCCGCAAAGAAAGGGCTGAACAGGTTAGACCACCGATGCAATGGTGCACTCTTTCGCTGGCATTTTCTGATGTTTTCATTGGAACCCCTTGCTTTCGGAACTCATGTCCTCTCCCTTGTGGTAAAACTCCTTGACAATAAACAACCTATATGATGCCATTTTAGAACGTAATCTAACGGGAGTGAGTATTTAGTAATTAGTACTTAGGTGGGAGTTCATTATTCCTTTTCTTGGGGGTCTGTCCACGCTGCAGGTGCTTCACTGGTGGCTTTTGTGACCTTCTGCGAAGCCTCACTTGACTGGTGGTCAGTAGGGGATAAAGAAATGGATCCCCACGGCCTACAAACCCAGTTTCCGTTTCATTTTTCAAATTTCCATTCGACTTGCAGTTCCCTCCCCCACAACCTACGCCCCAAGTAGTAGCTTCCATGTGCCTTTCCTTTCCCTGCTAACCGCCAGTAACTTGAAAGTGAGAAAATCTGCTCGTCTCACAGCTCTTCTGCCAGCCATGCTCAGCATGGATTCTTGGGCTCTCGCGTGGAACTAGGCAGAAGCAAAAACACAGAGAGCCGGGTTTAGGGTATAAAGGGTTAATTAGCCTTCTACTTGGTAGGTTGAGGAGGCAGGGACAGTTGAAACTGGCTCGTGGCTGCAGCTTGCAATCTGGCTCCATGAGCTGCAATAGCCGCCCTTCTGACCCCTCTAGCTGGTGCATGCATCTGTGTTCAACCTAGAGGGCTCCCATGCTAAGCAGAGCAGAGAGTCTCACCATCTCAGCTTGCCAGGTGCAAAGTACGACGCCGGTGGCAGGATCACTTTACACAACGATGCCTTGCGCTGGGTCGGGGTCTCTGAAGACATGGAGCACAGTTGTGACGTTCGCATTTTTAAGTCCGGGCACACCCTCCCCGCACCATTCCGTCTCAAGAGCATGCTGCTGACAAAGGTGGTGAAGCCCGCTGAAGCATCCGAGCGCTTCCCAGCAGGGTCTCAGGTGTGCGCCGCCTCAGACCTTTCATCGCATTGCGGTTCATGCAGCCTTGCTTGACTTTCTCTTTTGGCAGGAGGAGGTGCAAGTTGTTTTGGCCAAACAGATTTCGTAAACAATGTTCATAGGTGGTCCTGCCGTAAGGAGGTGTGGGCATGGGCATGGGTCGGGTTGAGATGATCAGATCTCAACCTACTATTGCTATTGGCTGGTGTTGCCAGGCGAATGCTTTTGCAGAACGTGCTTCCCCTACGTACATGTTGCAGGTACTAATCGGAAACGCCGGCAGGTATGGCTCGGTATGTAGGACAGGAGCACTAGGAGTAGCCATGGGATTGCAACCGCATTGCTTGTAAGGTACTGTATGTGGCATGTTGGCAAAGCCTGAGGTATCGCAAGGTTGCCCTCATTTACTACCTGACGAAGGCGGGTAGGCTTCGGTCATTTGCCGGGCCAGGTGAAGGTCGACTGGCCAAGTCCTTCAAGATGGGTTTCATTATATCATAGTTCAGATAAAGGAGATCACGTTATGCAGTGACAAACCATGACGGTGAAAGCCTAACGGCCTAACAGCAGATGTCCTGCTGCAAGCTTGGTGGTGGACTTGATGCCAAGCACTGCCAGCGCGGCATGGCGGCCCCTCGTACCAGTAAAAGGAGTAAGACGGAATAGCACTCTGGCTTCCTCGAATCTATGTCAGGCATAAGAAAGGCACTTTTCTGAGTTACCCAGTTTTGGGTCCCAGTAGATGGACGCGATGATTGGAACCCCTGAACTTTGTTTTTTTTGCTTTCTCAGCTTGTGACTGCCCGCAATTTGGGTTCAGGATGGTACTGGAAGTCTCTTGACTTGGTATGTTTAAGGGCGATTCAGTGCCTGTTTTTGGCCATATGGACTAGCACTACTTTCACGTCTGAACAGTTGCCAGCACTTCCTCTGGATTTTGTGTCTGAGTACTAAGCAAGAACACGCCAATCACCTACAGTTCTGAAGCACGATTCCTTATTCCTTCATATTCTGCAAGACCATTTTGACCTTTCTGGTGTGTTTGGGCTCCGCGACGTGACGTCGCCGGTGTCTGCGAGCCATCACAAGTGCCATGTTGGGAGCCATGGTTCCTGGCTTCGGTGAGGCCCGGGCCTTTTGGAAATGTTTGCCATACAGACCGGTTTGATTGCAAGTGTCAGATTGCACGTTGAGTACTTAATGTCTTTGAACTGGGTTGCTGCTATTGAAGGCCAAGCTGGACCACCGTGTGTTGTCTAGCCCGCGCTGTTTGAATAGATGTTGGAACGATGCGCAACTTCTACCTACACAGGGAAAGGCCCCTGGAAATTGGGTCCAACCCTCGCACATCTTACATCTTGCTTTGTCGAGGGGGACAACTGCATCACAGTTGCAAGTCCATCTTGGATTTTCAGCGCCTTTGCGTCGCCTCTGAAAGTGCAGTAACTGAAAAGGCCCTGGCGGTTCAGATTCTCAATACGTACGCCTGAAGAACGTTTCCTCTCACAAGGATCCCTGTAATCAACTCTGGGCGGATGCAAGGAACATTGACTTCGTATTCTTCCTCCGCCTTCCCACTTTTCTTTTCTCGCTTGTCAGTCTGTCACCTGCCAGTTGCCTGACCACAGAGAACCAGACAGGATTTGGGATGCTGACATGTTGCATTTCGCTGCCCAAACGTTCCTTGGTAGATCAGTTCACATCATGCCCCGAAAGCCATATTCGACATACACGGCTAACAAGTTGCAATAGGGCTACATCATGCTGTTGTAGGCTGGACATGAGAACTTTTATCCTGCCGTCCTGTCACGAGATCCAGCTCAGGCAGCATGATGAGAGGGGTTGCAGGCTAGCAGGCAGCAGAAAATTTAAGTCGCCAAAGCCATAGACCTGAAGAATATGGAGAGGTTTCTACCCTCCCAACTTTAGGAAACCTCCATACCTGTCCTTCGACGCCATGGAGCAAAGCATCAGCCGGACCAGACGCGTGGCATGCTGGCTGCAACATACGGGGGGTTGTTTTGCCATGGCCATAGGTTATAGGGATAATGGAAAAGAAAATGGAAACTACTATTATATAGGGGTTATACTAGGGTTATAATGGAATAATGGAAAAGAAAATTGAAACTGGGGTACTTGCGTTCCACAACTTTTTTCTGGACTTGCTTGGGGGTGGCTTTCTGCTGTGACAGGCCAAGCTCCGCATGACCTCGAAGACCTCAAACTGAAAGCGCGTATACGCGAGAACTGCGGTTTGCACCGTTGTAGCCTTTCTTTTTTCTCCATATTGCCAAGTTCCTAATTTTCCACGCGCTCCGGGCCCTGCAGCAGGCTCAGAAGTGTAAAGCGTAGATTCCAGTCTTAGCATAATGCGGGTACCTCCCCGTTTAACGTAATTGGGACCAGAGCTTCTCGGACACAAAAGAGCAGAGTGTAGTCATAGATTTGGACTGGAAATATAGGCATTGCTGGCACCCATACCATGTCATTGGTCTCAGAACTGCACTTGCGGCTCCTTTTGAGGGTAAGATCTGCTTGGATGCCTCGGGCTTGATTGGGTGTCTTGTGGGTTTGGTGGTGCGTTAACACCTGCTAACTTTTGTGGGGCCGCGGAAGAGAGCATTGAATATGGTGCAGGTTTCTTGGACATCTAAAGTAATAGTAATTTCCATTATATTTTCCGTGAACCCTTATGTATATAATCCCTATAAGCCTTAAACAGTAGTTTCCAGTAGGCCCTGAAGTTTTGGCACGTGTGGGAGCAGGGTTTCAGGTGGAGCTTCCAAGGGTATCTGTTGAGTTTGAAGGGTTCATAGGGTTTATGGTAGTTTCCCAAAATACGGGACCCCAATATGCGCTTCAGATATTATAATCCTTATTATGGGGACCCCGAGACCCCTGCCCTATTTTTGGGAAACTCCCTTATAGGGTGGCGGTATGAGTGAACTTTGCTGAATAAGCAAGGCAGAAAAACCGGAGCCATGTCTTCCTGAGGCACAGGTGGCCACATTTTTCAGCTACCTGGGCTTCATTCAGGCCTCCGGGTCTTGGATCAGGGGGGAGGGGGGGGTGGCAACCCTGAGGTCCGCTATAATGTGCTTTGGGACTGGGGCCCGCTTTTTGAGGATTGAGGGTAATGATGTCGGGTCCTCTTTAATGAGTGTTGTGTTTTGATTTTGGGGTCTCAGAATATACGAAGCATTCTCGACGCTCTCTTAAATCAATCTCACAGGGACCTCAGAACTCAGCCTTTCTCCGGGTACCGTAATTTCTATTTTTCTGAAGGCCTTATTGTCAGGGGGGCCCAGCGCTTTAAAGCGGGACCAACATTAATGCAAACCCCTGCAGGTGTCGCTTAGCTCACCAGTTTGAGAATGAAAGGTATGCACGGTTGCAACTGGAAGACATAGCATGAATGGAGCACGGCGCAGGCATTCTCCCGCATTACGAGCCACCATTTGGAACACGATTCTTAAGTAGCGCGCCGAGCATGCAGTTCAATGTTCTAGGTTGCCGCGAGCCCCCTTGCGCAGGCAAACTGCTGCTTCAGCTTCCTGGCCATGCTTTTGGGCTTCCGAGTGAGCCACGGTGCCGTGCCAAGGACGGCAATGAGAATCCTTTTTCATTGTTGTATTGGACTTACAGTGACAGTGCAATTCAGTGAGATATACGGCAAAACTGTAGCTTCTTTCAGGTTCAAGGCTTCACTGCCACGGGGCGATGTCTCCACAAGGGGCGAGGGCATAACTGTAAATATGATGCCATACCGAAGGAAACTGTTTTCTTTGTAAAGATGTGTAGAAGCTAGACACAAGGACTCCAAGATGATCTGCAATGCAGGGCAAGAGTCATCTTGTCAAGTTCTCCTTAGATGACACTTTGATATGAATGTTACTTGCATGGTTGCCCACTTGCATTGACCAGCGTATCACTAGAGGTTGGCGCAGCATCTGTAGCTTGCTTCCATGAAGCTCCGTTGTAGGAGCCCCCTCACATTCCACTTGGCATCCGGACCAACCTCAAATGGTGATCTGCCACCATGTAGAGAGCTGAATTTGGGCTGCAAGCTAGGTGGCTTCACTGATCCTCGGAGCTCTCCGCACGCGCTTTGCGACCTTCACCGGCTCTTGCCAAGCATCCCTTCTTGAACAAGAGTGTCACATTAGCAGGCAGCATACTGAGAATGGCTGCGCGGATGGGAGCATATCTCAAGTAATTACAGATGCCACACGTTCCGTCCAGTCCAGTCCTGACACTTCGAGGTGCGTCGTGCCAGTCTGCACCATGTGTTGCCTATGCTCACATGTTTTGCAAGGTGCTGGATACTGGAAATCCCATCGTCTACTTGTCGAACCACCGAAGTATCTTGGCTTGACGCATCGAAAAAGGTGTGCCCCTTGGGGCGCTGTCAATTTATTGTGGGTGTTATGACAATATGAGGGGTCCCTTGAGGATATCTTGTAGGGCCTGAGCAAAGACGGTGGGACGTTCCGGTCTCCTTGCGGGACTGCTAGCTCTCTGTTTGCCCAACCTCAACCTGTCCCCATGCCCGAGACCATTGCTGCTGTGGTGAAGCTTGACCTGGCCATAGGAGGTATATTGGGCTATAGAGATCTTAAAGGGATCATGCAGGGCTATATAGGGATTATATAGGCATTGTATAGGGACTATATAGGGGCTATATAAGGGAGTACTTGCTGGGAGGTTGGGGCGACTTTTGGACCGATGCTGCGCTGCTTGGAGGACGTTTGGCAGCTGCGATGCATACTGAAACTGCTGGGTAGATATTGGGATCATGGAAAAGAAAATGGAAACTACTATAGTATATTAGGGATCCCTTTAAAGGGGTTATATAAGGGATCGCCGGATAGCCTGAGTCGGCATTCATCCTGGTAGATGAGTATAGGGTCGAAGTACGAGGACAGTTTTACAATGGGACCGTTACCACAGGCTGCAGTACTCTGATGAGCTAGCAACCCCTTCACGACTTGCACATCAAAGTTTGTACAGTATGGTCTTTGAGCCATGCACACACAAAAGCACAGACGTTCGAGGACCCTCCTTCATCTCTCGTGCCCTCGTGGCGCTGGGAATTCCTTGTGCCTGGGCCATGCATGCTCGGCGCTAGCCGAATTAGTGTGCGCTACAAAGGAGATCCAACAGTGTAGAAATCATGCGAACTCTCGCGTCTAGGGTGATATTGGGGTTTATATGGTGGTTATATTGGGATAATGGAAAATAAAATGGAAACTAGTTACTATATTTTAGATATAGGGTTATATCGGGGTTAAGTTTCCCTGCTGAGCTGGATCTGAACTGATACCACATCCCAACCTCCGAAGCAAAACCATTTGCACCGCTGGCTGAGGACATCACAGGACGACCCCCAATTTTTGCTTTCAAGCTAGCTTGCTGTTTGC